TCTTATATATATATATTAACATGGCACACTTCTATAGAAGTATTGAATAGTTATGACTTAAAAATAATTGATACATAAATTTCAAAATATGTTTAATATGAAAAAAAGATTACAAAATTTAGAATTTTAAGGTCTAAACATGTTTTTATCTTTGAGGTAAATTTATTTTTAGTCCTCAAGTTTAAAATTAATTTTTTAATTTTGAAATGTAAAAAAGTACTTATTTCAATTTCAATGCTCAAATGTCATAATAAATCTATCAAACAAAGTTTATCAATTACTAAATCTATTACTTAAATTTTACCTAGTAGTAGCCCGATTAATAAAAACATCACATTAAAATTCGTGATACCCTCTACCTTGAGTTTATTTATTCATAAAAATGTGTTCCAAAATTTATTAGCAAAATGCATTAGTACTAGAACTATTTTTTTTAAATTGGATAAAAAAGTTATTATACAACAATTCTATAATCAATTTAGATGTTATTGATGTAAAAAATAAGCGACTTCATACATCAGTTATATTTTAACCGATGAATAATAATAATAATAAAAAAATTAACGATGACATGTGCCACTTTTCCCCCAACCAACCCCAACTGACGTTTGAACCTCCTTCATCCTTGATTACCATGTAAACATAAATACAAAGATAAGCAAAACACAAAAATAACATATATAAAACATAAACATCTCAAACAACGCCCAAGTTTTACATCCTATTAGAGCATATCCCAAAGTAAAAGTGGACTAAGAAGCATAAATATTCTCCATGTTCACATCATCAACATCCTCAACAAACTCATAATCACTTGTAAATGGTAATCAACCTAAATACAAACAATAAAACAAGGAGTGTGATGCATCTCACATTGCATCAAGATATAATAAAAGTTGTTAGTAGAAGTCACACACACAAAAGTCCTAAAACATCCAAGCATATCGAGATCAATATCAAGCACACACATGATATAATGCAATATAACAAAGTTGTTAGTTGAACTCACTCACCCAAAAATCATCAAACATCTAAGCATATCAAGATCAATATAAAGCACACATATATGATATAACAGAATGAATCTTAGACCTTCATCTCATATGCATGCAAGTGACTACTTAACAAACCTTCAACATAGTATGCTCTCCCTTGGTGATTCATTAGGCTCCTCAAACTAGCATTGCATAGTTCAAATGCGTGACCAAGGTATCAACATCCACCAAGATTTTCCAACCAGATGTAATCTCTCCCAAGGTTTAGAGAACCACCCCTTAATGACTTCCACAAGCCTACTACATTAGGAACTTTATTTCAAAAACATAATTTGTAATGCAATGATGCATGTTAACAAACTATACTGATGGAATTCATAATAAAAGATAGGAGACACCTACCTCGCTAAGCTAGGCTCTCATTTTCTTTAAAACACATTTTATATTCAATGGCATATAGTAAAGATAGACACAAGATAAGGGGTTGAATTCGGCCTATTAAATACTTCAACACTTTTTCTAAATTATTGAATAAAACACACAGACTAAAGGGTGCATAAGAAGTAATGAACACAAAGGATTTATGTTAGTTTGTCTCAATAACTGAGTCTATGTTCAATTCTTAATCAATTGATCAAGTTTCACCATCTTTCACAAAGATACAAAGTATTCTATAACAAGTAATTATTGACTCAATATAAGTATTCTTTGACTTGCCTCATTAAGAAAATTACCCAAGTATTATTTAAACAAGAAGGCCTCTCCAAGCTTTTAACATCAAGTATTATTTGAACACAAAATTTCTTCAAGCTTCAAGTTAAAACAAAGTTTTAGTTGGGTAAACTAACCAAGAATCGTCTTAAAACATAAAGTTTAAGCTAGTTAAACTAACAGGGAATCGTCTTACTGATAAGA